TAATTCTTCAAAGTCTATGCTTATTTCTTTCTCATGATATAAATAATATTTAAAATATATTTTTAATATTTTACTTTTATTATTTTACAGTTACCTTTCAAGCATTATACATAATTGTAAATTTATATTTAATCAAATTTATTTTGCATAATTTAGAATTTTTTGTGCTTATTTTCTTGTTTTTAAGTGCACTAATGCATTAATACTTCACGGTTGTTTTATACGTTAAATTCACGACTCTGGTGATAATTATTCGAGCATATTTTACAAATAAAAATGCATCGTACCGCATTATTTATTAATATAAATGTAAATTTTACAATATCGTGAAAATACTATATACTAAACAATATTATAGAATATTATTATATTATTTATAAATAACTCTTTTGAAATACACGACCCAACCCCATCAAAGAAAAAAATTATTAATAATAATAATTAGATACCATATGTTAGGTTTTTGAATTCAATAACCGAAAAATGTTCATAATTATTTTAGATATATACGTATATATATAAAATATAAAATTATGAACATGCAAAATAGTGAATATACATAATATATGTTTACATACATGATATTTTGATACTCCACCTGGCAGGAACATATTAAAAAATATACATGTTTTATATTATGAAAACTGAGTTACGACACAAAGTGGTCATTGAATGCGACTCGGGCTTACGGAACAGCTTTAATTATATCGTTCTACCCTAATGACGTATTTTCATGTCTATCTATAATTATTTTTGCAGTCACACGCGAAAAGTATTATACCAATACACTTCACTCTTACAAAAATATTCGGTAAAAACCAAATACGAATACACCCGTTAATGATTGTCGGCCGGACTATTGTATACGATTATGGTAATAATTTTTACGCACTCATATTTTTATTATGATAATTATTATTCGTTTGGTTTATTGAATTTCATAAAAGCTTCATTTTCATTTTTTCCCCTATATTATATACTATAAATTATGATATATGTGAATTCGAAAATCTTTGCATAGTATATACGAATTAATATAGAAACTGTAAATAACAGGTAAACAACCTAAATACCATAGGAAACACAAGATATGGTCAAACGTACTTTTCAAAAGTTAATATATATTTTAGGTTTGTTACTGATAAACGTGCATTTAGAGTGTCCGTAATTATTAGCAAATTGTTCTTAGTTGAGAGATAGACAAAAATACCATAATTTGGATGCTACACATATTTTTGTAACATGATATATTAAATTTTGGCTATTTTAAGAATATTTTTAATTTCACTTTCACAACATCCCTTATTATTGTAAGGTAGTTTTTGTATTTTTTGAAAAAAATATTTAAATCAATTGCATCGAGATGGTCATAATATTTTAAATTTTCATAAAAATATTAATTGAAACTACCTATTGAAATGGAGTAATAATTATAGAATAGAAGTAAAAAATATATTGTTAGTGTTAATATATTAGTGTTTTTACATTTTCGCTGTATTGTGTAACAGTGAAAAATGTCTTATAAATATGCTTGAAAACTCACTTAAATTTTACTTTTTTTTGATTTATAAAAAATTTACACATTTAGACTAATATATTTCATATAAAACTGATTTAGCTAGTTATGACTAATGGAAAGCAAATTATTTTAATTTTTTGAAACTCATAATAATATAACATTATAATATATCCACTTACGCAACTATACGTTTTTAAAGTTTTATACTTTCTGTCTTTCTACGTACGGTATAATTTTAATAAAACAATATAATACGTTATGTTTATCAATAATAGCCAACATTATATATTTTATCAATAAAATACATTTATAGATGCCAAACATTTTATTTTAAACGACTATTTTTGGTTCGTTAAGACTAAGATTATTCTAAATATATTTAAATAATAATTTTGGAGTATAGTATGTTGTTTTAAATCATAAAATTTTTGAATAACTAATTTTTAATTTAAACATATTTTTTAAACTCAATCATCAGATTAAATATTATAATAACAACAAAGCTGTAGTGTTTCCGTCGTTGGCAACGAGTTTGTTTTTGAATGGAAATGTTTTGAAATAAGAAATGTCAGACAAGCAGATAAAAAAAAAGTTTGCTAATAAAATCAGGCGCGGAAACATGACATCATATCGTATACATTTTTTCACATTTTACTCAGAAATAGGGAATTCTAGAATTGTTGAAATAAGATTTTTTTTCATTTTGTACCACTCAACCACTGTCGTATTTATATTAGATATTGTCGGCTTTTGAGATTTCTGAATAATCTGAAATTGGTTACAGTACATTTCACGAGCATATTATATTATAGTATGATATCATACGTGTACACTACAAATCTACGTGGAAACATATTCCCACTATTATTTCATTTAGGCAAGCCAGCAATATTGGGAAAAACAAATATAACTTGATATAACGGTACGTTGTGTGTTATATTAAAAACGAAAAGCCCATTATTTCTATTAGAGTGGGTGGCAACAATGGCAGATTTATATAGAAAAAAGCATGAGACCATATTATTATTATTATTATCATAAATATAATAATATAATCTATTATGTACGAATAGAGACTATGCACTAGTATAAATGAATCTAATATAATATAAAATGGTGAATCCCATGACTTCGTATGTGGGTAGTAGCCAGTAGGTACCCTGCTGCAAAGACAGACCAAAAGCTGAGACGAAGTATTAGAAATATGTACGATGAAAATTGGCTCTATATATACGCATGAATGAATTTTATATATATATATTTATGAAAACAACCGTATAATAGGATTTGCGAAAAATAATCCCAATATTCATGCATACATACATACATACATACAAATATTGTATATATATGATGTTCGAACGTAAAATTATCGTACATGTTATTCTATATGGTAATATGTGCGTAAAAGCTGTATAATAGGATAATAATTCTGCACATGCTTTACGATATCCTGATGCGACGGATTATAAATTTAAAAAAAAAAAAAAAAAAATTATGACGGTTAGTTATTGAGTAATAATTCCGTTTCAATGAGTTTAATTTTCTGCACTGATGTGTGTTTTTATTTAATACTCATCATGCACGTTTAACAAAATATAATTTTCGTGCAGTATACTGCTCAGTGCTCACGCGTATTATGTTGCATTATGTTATGCACCCATGTCTATATTTTACTTAAAACATAGAAAAAAAAATCTTGTTCATTTTGGTAACTATTAAGAAAAAATACACTATAGATTCATGATGATCACATTTAGTTTATAAAATGTCACGTTTTATAAATATTTTCGTTTAATAACATATTAAACATATATTTTAGAGTCAATAATAATTTCATTAAGCTTATTTTACTGTGATATGTTGTACTTTATTTCTTAAGATTGAGTTTAATTTTTAAATTAAAAAAAAAAACATATTTTATAATATACATTTTGCCAATAATACTACTATTATAAATACCATAATTTTTTTTTTAATATAATGTTATCCTGTATCAAATTTAACTATAAAGTTGGTGCAGATAAAGACAAATGTTTAATAAACATTTAAACATATTATATTTTAACGAAAAGTGTTTACGTTTTGTAGACAAACTAATGTAGTAATGTCAAAATTTTTTCAAGTATTGCTGTCTTTGTAAGACCTTGTCCTATTTTTCTATAACATATGCGTTTCGATATTTTCATGTACAAGGATTTAAATTAATTAAATTAATTCATATTATTTCATCAAAATAAATCTTTATTAAAATATATAATTTTTAATGCACTTCATAATAATGTTTTTTAAGCACTTAATTTGAAACGTAATTTACACCAAGGAAATAAATTATGATGACGATGAACAATAAAAAAATGAAAAAACGTTACATTTTAATAACAAAAGATGTTATAGATAATAATAGAACAATTCGTGAAGAGCGTTGTCATGTCCATCTGTCATATTTTTTTGGCTGGTAATTGTGTTCATTTACATAGATTTCATATTTTTGTATATATACACAAATTAATGATCTTAAAATTATTAATAGAACAATTGTTTAAAAAATGTTAGGCTAATTAAAACTAATCGTTAATAAAACTTTATTTAATATATATTCGAGTAAATTATTAATTGCATTATTATCTTAATTAAAGTGAATAAAATAAATGTAGTTTGCTATTTTTTAAAGCATATTATGTATTATTTATGAAATATAAATATTAAACTCAATTTAAAATGATGTTTCAATATTATTATTTTTAAAATAATTCAATAAACTTAACATTTTATTTTTTATTTTTTATTTTTTATTTTTTATCTAGCTATTTGAATTTAATACCGACTAATATTTAAAAAATATATATATGAATTAAATGTACTTTTATTATACCTTGAACATCATACCTCATATAAGTACATATAAATATTATTATTTTTAATAGTTAAAATGTAAGTTCTATGTATCTAGTAAAATTGGTAATAGTAGTTAAAAATCAAATGATTTGTGCACTTAATTTTAAATTTTAAAATTACTTTAAGACTCAAAGGTCATTTTCGTTTGTTAATGATGTGAGAATTTATTAAAACAACTAGATTCTTCATGTTTAATAGGTAAGTAATAATATGTATATTATTCAAAGTTTTATTATTAATTAAACACAAATGCAATTTTCATTATTACATCATTTTTTATTAATAACCATAAAAATTTAAAACCCTGATAAATAGTGAAAACAAAATTTTTTAAATACTTCCTGTTACAAATATTTTGGAATGTAATTGATACAAATTTAAACGAAATAAGGTCAGTTGTTTTTATTTAAACAAATCATTTTTATCACATTAATTAATAACAAAAATAATATTTTTTCTCGTTATATAATCTTAATTTGACGTTTTCACTGATTCGAATATTATAATATGTGTATATTATACTGGCATAATAGGTATACATGTTTGTTTTAGATAAATTTATGATATTATGTTTTCAGCCCACCTTTTTTCTCATTATTGTGTCACATGTCGAGACGCGCGTTACTATACTAACATAGTCAGATAATAGGTATTTTGCCGTGATCCCGATTTTTATGAGTAGCTAAAGATAATCGAAACGTCAACAGTTAAAGTCGAATTTCTTATGCACACGCTCACATTTTAATACGAAAATAAATTAATCGCACACCGTATCGGTTATTGTCTTTTTACGGATCGTGTCATTGCGGTATCTATAGGTACTCGTATAGTAAATAATACAGTTATACAACAATTAATATCGGCGAAACGCGTATTAGTTTAGAGATGATGACGATAATACGCGTGTGTAATGACATGCTAAAATCTATAGACACGTCCGAAGTTATCCATTTCAAATGGTCGTTCGCACGTTACTAGCGAAGTGAAGATGCCCATTGATGAAACCCGCGTATCCCCCACCACCGATTTGGCAACCGCTCTCCTCTCTATTTTTGCAGCCAATGCACATCTCTTCCCTAACTAGCGGCGACATCATTATTGTTATTAATATGCAAAGTGTTTATCGACTATGAACAGTTGACGAACACTTGGCAGCATCGCCTGATTTTTGTTTTTATCACTTTATTATATTTTTACGAGTACATATAATGTATACATAATATATATATATAAATATAGAAGTATTGAGTTTATATATATACACACATTCGTATATTATATACATAATCTTACACATTCGAATCACGAATCACGAATCGACAATTTAATAGGGCCAAGGCGATTTTTTTCCATGACGCGAATTATTGTACTATGTGCATTTATATCTATTAATGGACGCAAAAATTATTATTGGTTTATTTTTTACACTCTCGCTCGTAAACCAGCGCGAACTGAAAGTCTGAGTATTTTCTCAGGCTTTCCTTGCGCGATTTATGCATAATTCATATGATGTAAAGAAAAGGCTGTCCGAAATTACAAGTATTCCCTTTTTGTTTTTCCTCGGAAATTAATGTTAACGAATTCAAAACAGAAATGGAATGCGGCGACGGAGAAAAAATTATTGTTGTTTAACTTTATTGAAAAATTATATTTTGGTATAAAACTTATATAATTTTGCATAATAGCCTTGTTATAAAGTGTGTAGTCAGATGGGGCGGAAATTAATTTATTTTTTACTTACATAAAATAAATACGGGTTATATAAATAACGAATTCAATTATTTTTGAAACTATTTGTTATTTTATCAAAGTCAGTAAGTTAAATTAAATCAAAAAATATATATTTTATGCATAGCAATATACGCATCGTTATTTATTTTGTGCGATTACTGACTATAATATTGTAAATACCTATTTATACAATACCTTTATCCGGGAGGTGTTTTATTTCATTTCACAACTGGGTCACAATAATTTTACCATCGAAAATAAATAAAATATAAATGTAATGAATATTCTCAGTTTGGATTAATTAATTTACGTATAACGTACTTGGTACATGTATACAAATTATTGTTAAAATCTTAAGTACGAGAGTATTAAAAAATACATTATTAATTATTAAATATCAACTGAATAATGTTTTTGAGAAGCTGTGCACTACAAACCCATTTTTGATTTATACATACGTTTTTTAGGTAAGTTTCTACCACGTTAACTGATGACACAAAATTACATATCAACATGAATACGATGTAGAGAAGATAATGTGTAATATCATTCATCGTCCGTACGTCGTTTATATCATGGACTTTGAGCTATGATAAAATGCAAAGATATCTTAGTCCGTGGTGCATATAAATATATCGGTCATCTTTTGATTTGAATTCAAAAATATAAGCTCGCGATAAAAGATCGAGGTCCAAACTTTAAAGTGAGTTTTGTTCTCCTGAAAAAAGCGAATCTTGACATAAACCCTTTCTCACAAACACTGTCTAATTCCATTACTTACATAATTCTATTCATGGGAATTGTTTTGTTGATCAACAATCGTGATACTGTTTTATGATTATCGTAATAAATGACCACAAAATATGTGTTACAGTTACGAACGGATAAAAAAGCGAAGAAGATTAATATCATATTTATTTATACATTTTTAATTTTATATTCAAATGAAAATCTTATCTTTCTAGCTGCTATCTAGGATTAACCAAAGAAAAAAAAAACACATGTCCGTTATCGAGTAAAAGCCATGTCATTAATACTTTTTTTTGGATCACGTTCAATTCTCAACACGATGACACACGACAAATGTAATGTGTTTCTGTCTCTCAAACTGTTTTAGAAATCACCATCCTTGATGTTTCGATAACGTTCATCAAACAGACGTCTAACTCGTTTAAAGCCTATAACGTTTTAACGAACGTATTTGACGATTTACTGTCATATTTGTGTTTATATGTCCATCAAAATTAATCGAAATCCCATATAAATATATTATTTCATAACACTTGAAAAATAATAATAACACAATTTCGCCGTCGTATAGTATTGGACTTTTCAATTTCCGATTGAGTGATGCTGGGAAGAAGTACATAAACATTGATTTTAAAAAGGTATTCCTCTTTTTTAAATTAGTAATTTTTTATTTTTAATAACTTCTCTATTTTTTATATGTGTCAAATGTGTCATAGAACGATTTAAAAAAAAAGACAATAGCATTAAATTAATTGAAATGTTTTGAAAAAATTGTCATTGTGTACCTGTATAAAATATAATCATTTAATGATAAATTGAAAATTTTTAAATTTGATGTTGTTAAAAAGCTAAAATAACAACTTAAGAAGAACATAAAGTTCAATAGTATTTATACTAAATTATATGTTTAGGAAAAAATTAAAAACAATTAAAATTTCAAATTTCTACAAATAGTTTAATAATAGTAAAGCATTTTTAAAAATGATATCACGAAAGAAAAGTACTGAGAATTTTTAACTATTGCTCCGCTCAAAGTATAACTAGATACGCGAAAATGGATGTAAAATTTAAGTGAATATTAATGTAAAAAATGTTTAAATGTTTCTATATTATTATATTCTAATTACAAAACTATCATTTGTTTTAATTTCTAATTTTTTTTCTTTCGTTTACAGAACACAAAATTATATTTTAAATGCTAATATTTTGTTTCGATTGAATAACTTATAAGTTATAAGTGAACAATAAGTTTTACTTACGAGCTACTACAGTTTTTGAATATTGCTATAACGCCAATTTTCTCTGCTATTTTCATTAATGTTAAAGCCTTAATATCTTGTAAATCTCAGGCTAAAATCCAAGAGCTGTTAATGTGTCATATAAAGATAATAATTATACAAAGAAGAATATCTGGGTTCAAAATTAGAACCAGTAGACTTCTAAAACTATTTTAAAAACTATATGAAGTTCACTTAACGTCACATAATTTTAAATTATTTTACTTATTAATTCATAGTGACTGCTTTATGAAACAAATATCATAATATTTAAATAATAAAACGTAAGATTTCTTTGAAGTTATGTTTACTTGGTAAACTTATTTATCAACTTAATTTTATTATGTCTAAATTATCATACAAATAAAAACTATTCATTGATCATAATTCATAAATAATTCTTTAAATAAAAACTAAAACGATCAAAACACCTTCTGAATAACTTATTTAGCCCAACGTGCAGTATAACGTTTTGATTAAGAAAACAGTCCATTACAATCATTTAATTTTTGAGGACTTATTAATTAAATAGCTTGTAATAATATACACAGAATATATACAAAACAATTACTATCTAATGCATTCAAATAATATAAATAGGTCTAATTATACAAAATCAGTGCACTGTGTACAAGAGTAGTTGAATAATTTTACTTTATCTCTATATTTTCAACGTCACTTAAACATAAAGTCTGCAATATTATACTAAAAGCTACAGAAAACAACGGCTACACTATTCGTTAATTAAAACATTTAATGTTTGGAATTAAAATCTTCGAATACAAGCCAAGCGCATATAATGAACTTTCTAACTTATAATAGTAATTTGAAAATACACGCGTTATAGAAGGTACGCATCTTGCCATCTCGGTGTAAAATTTGTATTAATTTGCATATTATATTCTCCAAAACGCAAACTATTTGTCATTTTAAATGTTTATAATTACAATGTGTATAATATCTTATTACAGTATATAAAAGGTGTCCGAATACCATAATCTATTATAAATGATTAATAACGTATAGGTAATATTAGACACAAGATATAATGTTGTAACGTATCTACGATTGAATTTCAATACGTTAAAATTAGGTACCTAAGAATATTCTACAATTTAATTTTATGACATTGCTGGTTTTGATTTCAACAATCTTGATTTATTAAGTTAGCTTACGTGTCAGCCGTCAGGTAAACCTCATTTCTATAAATTATATAGACACATTGAACATTTAATATTTTTTTCAAGTACACATTTTTCTGACACATTTTATCCTTGTGTGACATTTAGTATTATAATACGACATGTACCTATTCAAATAACTAATCAGTAATCACTATAATAATATACCAAAAGTATACTATATCTACTTGCTTGTACGAATTTACTTTTTGTTATTGAAACAATCTACTCATTGATATACCCTAAATTTAGTGGCGAGCACTATTATCCTACAATAGCACTAGTTTTAAAAATACAATATTTAAAAAAAATAAATTTTTTTCACAGAAAAAAATAAAATAAACTAAATAGACGACATTATTCTAGAAATTTATTTTAGGATAACATCTATATCGAATATAGTATATTAATATAATATATTAGCTTGTCTTAATCGGAGCAGCTAAAATATACATGTACATGAGTACATGTATAAATTCCATAATTAATACAATATTAAGTATGAAGTATGCATATTACCGCAACAATAATATTTATCATAATCAGTAATTATTAATTATGTATACAGAATCTAGAAGCGGTTGATTTAGGTACCTACTGACTACATAAATTATGGTAAATGGCAATACAACACATACAGTAATCGGATTACTCAAACAATTCATTACCTATATTTCACACAAGCACTAAATATCAATTTAGAATTAATGAAACCGATTATAAAATAACATAGATCTCAACATTTTTCAATTTTTGTAAATTTCAATACGGTATAAATAATAATTATCTTCAAAATTATAAGTTATAATTAACCATTATATTAAATTAAATAATTTGTTATTCCCGTATAGTCATGGATAAATGTATAATCATAATAATATATGCATGAATGTTATATGTTGTGGAGTAGAAACCATGTATAATATTATACGTTATTTCATAAGATTTAGTTTTTAAAAATAATACTAACAAGAACAACTTTTATTTTTATTTATTAAAGTTCATAAAAATTGCTAT